AAGGCAGAGACCATATTGGTTGGAACTGATTCAGAAGAACAGCACATGGTGTGGTGGCAGCCACTTGAACAGCGTGTGCATAGCAGTGTAGAAAGCAAAGGGAAGACTACTACACTATATATTTCCCAAGAAAATCATGTTAATGGCGGCAAAACCAAACAATGGCCCCGAGTAAGGGCGCCTCTTAAATGGGGCAGGGATGCTAAGAATCTCCTGGTCCTCTAGAAGCATGATAAACCCAAAACTACAAAATGGTACATGGAATCTGAGAAGTGTATACGAAGCTGGGAAAACACACAACACTATCCAAGAAATGTCCAAATACAATATCTCTATATTGGGAGTGAGTGAAATGTGAGAGCCTGAAAATGGAATGTGTAGAATAGGAAATTATACTATCTACTACTCTGGTGAGAATAGCAAACACCATTGAAATGGAGTGGCTATAATTGTAAACAATTTTGTAAATAAATGCATCAAGTCCTTTATTCCTGTATCTGATAGAGTGATAATGATCCAAATAAATAGTACTCCAGTAAATATGAATGTTATACAAGTTTACACTCCCACAGCTGACAGTGATGAGGAGGATTTAGAGAAGTTCTACAAAGATATAAGCAGTGCACTGAAAACCCTAAAAAGTAATGATATCACAATACTCGTGGGGAACTTCAATGCAAAAGTGGGAGAAGGAAGTGATGTTCCTGTAATTGGAAACTTTGGCTTAGGAACCAGAAATGGTAGAGGTGATAGATTTGTAGACCTCTGCAAGGAATATAGGCAACGTGTGATGAATACTTTTTTCAAGTTGCCAAAAAGACGTCTCTACACTTAGAGATCACCAGCAGATACATGAAATAATGTAGTAAGGAATCAAATTGACTATTTTACAATAAACAAAAGATTTAGAAACTCAGTAAAATCAGTAAAGACATACCCAGGTGCAGATGTACCATCCGATCATAATCTACTACTTGCTGAAGTGCAGCTGAAGCTAAAAAGGATGAAAAACCTGAATCCTGCTAAACCAAGAATCGAGACTTCATCATTAAACATGGAGGTAAGATTAAAGAAGAACTAGAAAATCATTTAAGGGAAACCAACATACGCTGGATCATGGAGAAAGCTAGGGAGTTCCAGAAAAACATCTACTTCTGCTTCATCAACTATGCAAAAGCCTTTGATTGTGTGGATCACAACAAATTGTGGCAAGTTTTTAAAGAGATGGGAGTACCAGACCATCTCATTTGTCTCCTGAGAAACCTATATGCGGGTCAAGAAGCAACAGTGAGAACTGGACACGGAACCACTGACTGGTTCAAAATTGGAAAAGGAGTCCGGCAAGACTGTATACTGTCACCCTGCCTATTTAACTTATATGCAGAGCAATGCATATCATGAGAAAGGCAGGACTAGATGAATCAAAAGTTGGAATTAAGATTGCTGGGAGAAATATCAACAACCTAAGATATGCAGATGATACCACTCTAATGGCAGAAAGTGAAGAGGAACTAAAGAGCCTCTTGATGCGGGTGAAGAAGGAGAGTGCAAAAGTTGGCTTGAAACTCAACATTAAGAAAACCAAAATCATGGCATCCGGCCCTCTCAATTCCTGGCAAATAGATGGGGAAGAAATGGAGGTAGTGACAGATTTTATTTTTCTGGGCTCCAAGATCACCTCAGATGGGGACTGCAGCCAAGAAATTAAAAGACGCTTGCTCCTGGGGAGGAAAGCTATGGCAAATCTAGACAGCATACTAAAAAGCAGAGACATCACCCTGCCAACAAAAGTGCGTATAGTCCAGGCCATGGTTTTCCCAGTTGCAATGTATGGCTGTGAAAGTTGGACCATAAGAAAGGCTGAGCGCAAAAGAATTGAGGCCTTTGAACTCTGGTGCTGGAGAAGACTCCTGCGAGTCCCTTGGACTGCAAGGCGTTCAAACCGGTCAGTCCTAGAAGAGATCAACCCTGACTGCTCTTTAGAAGGCCAGATCCTGAAGTTGAAACTCAAATACTTTGGCCACCTAATGAGAAGGAAGGACTCACTGGAGAAAGGCCTAATGCTAGGAAAGATTGAGGGCAATAGAAGAAGGGGACGACAGAGAATGAGATGGCTGGATGGAGTCACTGAAGCTTCAGGTGTGAACTTAAATGGACTCCAGAAGATGGTAAGGGACAGGAAGACCTGGAGGAATATTGTCATGGGGTCGTGATGGGTCGGACATGACTTCGCAACTAACAACAACAACAACTTGAATGATGATGATGTAGAAGCGAACTAGAATAAATTTAAAAATGCAATAGTAGAGGTAACAAATTCAAAACAGAGAGAGGGGTACCACAAGAAACAACAGTGGATGACGGAGGAAATTCTTCATCTCATGGATGAAAGAAGATCTTATAAAAATAAAAACAAAGAAAAATACAATGAATTTCAGAAAACAATTAGAAGAAAAATTTGACCGGCAAAAGAAAAGTGGTTTGCAAAGAGATGCAAGGAAATAGAAGGGACAGAACATTTACAATTTACACAAAAAAGTGAAAGAAGCAGCAGGCCTCTACAAAAAGAAAACCAACAACTTAGTTGTCAAAGAGGGGAAATTATCTTAGATGAGGATGAAAAACTAAAAAGATGGAAGGAATATATTGAAGAACTTTTTGAGGACACTAGGGATGATATGGATATGGAAAGTATAATAACTGGACCAAATATCACTATGGAAGAGGTTGAACATGCAATAAAAATAGCAAAAATAAGAAAAGCCAAAGGACCTGATGATATACCAGTAAAAATTTTAAAATTGCTGGAAGACAATGGGAAGAATTTTTTACTGCAGCTCTTCAATCAGATATATGAAACAGGAAAGATATCAAATGATTGGCTAAAATCAATCTTTGTGACAATCCCCCCAAAAAATTAATGCAAAGAAGTGTACCAAATACAGAACAATAAGCTTAATGAGTCATGTTCTGAAAATATTCCTGAGAATAATTCACACAAGAATATACAACAAAATTGAAGAGTGTCTAGGTAACACACTATTTGGTTTCAGAAACAATCTTGGTACACGAGATGCACTGTTCAGCATTCAGGTTCTTGTACAGTGTTGTAGAGATGTCAATCACAGTGTTTACACGTGCTTCATTGATTTCGAAAAAGCTTTTGATAAAATAAGACACAGCAAACTATTAGAAATCCTGAAACAAGGGAGACTAGATGACAAAGACATCCAAATAATAAAGAATCTATATTGGCATCAGGTAGCAAATGTGAGACTAGGCCAAAAATACTTAGCTGATGCAGAAATAAGAAGAAGGGTCAGACAGGGATGTATTCTGTCTCCATTGTTGTTCAATATCTACTCTGAGTCACTCTTCAATGAGGCACTGGAGAACATCGATTCTGGCATCAAAGTAAATGGTGTTTGGATCAACAATTTAAGACATGCTGATGATACAGTTCTGCTTGCCAGTAAGCATGAAGATCTTCAGCTCCTCATCAACAGAGTCACAGAAATATCTGAAAAATATGGCTTGAAGCTTAACACCTCAAAAGATCATGGTCATCAGCAAACAACCCGTTAATTTACCACCAATAAATTCAGAAGGAATACCACTAGAAAAAGTTGAAAGGATCATGCACCTCGGTTCTAATTTATATGAAAGCTGGGACATGACCATTGAAGTAAAGACAAGGATAGAAAATGCCCGAACAGCATTCTTCAAAATGAAAAAGATCTTCTGCAGTCACAACATAAGCCTAAGACTGAAAATCAGGCTTGTCAGATGCTATATTTTTTCTATCCTGCTCTATGGAGTAGAAAGTTGGTCTCTGAAGAAACTAGAAGCATTTGAAATGTGGATTTACAGGTGGCTGTTACATATAAGCTGGGTTGACAAGATCAGAAATGAGGTGATAAACCGCCTGGGAAAGCCAAGGGAAATCATCAAAACAATTAAAAAATGAAAATTAAAATATTTCGGACATGTGATGCGACACCCAGAAGAATACGGCATACTCCATTTAATGCTCCAGGGAAAGATTGAAGGTAAAAGAGGTCCAGGCAGAAGAAGAACATCGTGGCTTCAAAATCTGAGGGATTGGTTTGGACAAAACTCAGCAGCACTTTTTCATGTGGCTGCTGATAAAAACAGGATCGCCAACATGATCGCCAACGTCCGATAACAGATATGGCACAAGAAGAAGAAGAAAGTAGATACGTTCTTCATCAGTTGAACTTTCTGAATGCTCTTTAGGGGTAGCCCTATATAGAACATGTTGTAGTAGTCTAAATGAGAGGCTACAAAGGCATGAATTACTATAAGAAAGGCCTTCCTGTCTAAGAAAGGGCAAAACTAGCATACCACCCAGAGATACACAAAGGCCCTCCAAACCATACCTGCTACCTGTTCTTTGAGGATCATCAGTAACTCTAGAAAGACTCCAAGATTGCACACTTGGTTTGTTTGGGGTAGTGCAATCCCATCCAGAACTGAAGATAGAAGAACCTTATCTCTGGAAAGTTCAAATAGGGTTGAGTTGAAAACAGGATCATTAGCTGCTAATTTGTTTTATTTTTGATATCAGCAAAACATCAAATGTTTTCAAGAATATAAATGACACTTTCCCACATCCTTATTTCTTTTTCACAATGTTTCAGATTCCATGTTGAAACAATTAGCAAGAGATAATTTGTAGGAGAAGAGCAGGCAGAGCTCGGGTGCAGAATTAAATGCATCATCAGCTAAGAGTTGGTACATTGCCACATACAGTCCAAGACGAACCCCTTGAATTCCATTGGGCTTTATTTGGTGCCAATTTAGTATTGAAGTTTAGTTTACTAGATATACAGGCTTGAAAATAAATCTTTTGAACTGTCACTGAATGTATGGTCCTGATCCTTCGTGCCTGACATGATTTGAGGGGAAAAAAAAAAATATTTTCAATGTCTAAAAAAATTGTGTAAATTGTAAAAACTGAATGCTTTGTGTTTGCCCAGTTCCTCCAACAATTATTTTGCTTCAGAAGTCCTTTAATGCTACAGCAGATCGCGGAGAGGCAGTTACTTTGTTCTGTAAAGCTACTGGTTTCCCTGAACCTGAAATCTACTGGTACAGGTCAGTTTTACAAGGACATATATTTAAATTATGTCTTTCGTGATAGATTCATTATAAGTTTAATAAAGCAAATGGAATTTGAACTCTCATGATTGTAGAAAGTCAGATATGTTAAATGTAATTTTTTGACTTAATAACATTGCTGTATCATCATACACATTAATTTATATGTTATTTTATTACATAGTAGAGTATTAAAATGAATCTTCATGCACAAATGAAAAGTTAACATTTTTAATTTTCCAGTTAGTGATAAAAACTTGTGCTTTTCTTCTTAGTGGTATATTACATAGTTGTCATGACTGAAATTTTAGTGTTCATTTAGCTTATAAAAAAATATTGTATTTATATGTCTTTCTATAGGAAGGGCAAACGTATTGAGGAAAGTGATAAATATACATTAAGAGGAAGGAATATGGAACTAACCATAAAAGATATAAAAAATATTGATTCCGGTCCTTATATTTGTGAAGCAAGAAATAAAGCAGGAAGAGTGACAAATCAGACTTTCATGCAAGTTTTTGGTAAGTGTTGTTTGGTTTGGCTATCTTTGAAATTTATTGAATGTCTAATTCTTAGAAATGTTTAATTGATTCTGAAATAAATACAGAGGTCTCTCATTTTCCTACATGGGAAAGCCATCTAATCCCCAATTGCTACTAATTTTCATTCAAATTTTTTTTTAATCAGACCTTTTCAAAAGAAGTTGGTAAAAGTGCTGGGAAAAATATTTTTTTCATTTTAGTACAAATTAAAAGTTTGATTATTTTTAAAATATAATACTCATTGCTGCCTTATAGATAATGATGAAAGTATACTGAAAAATTATAAGCTGCTCTGTCCAGTCTACCTGTGCCCATAACAAAATTCTATTATTTTATATAGAGAAGGAACTCTAAATAATAATAATAAAAATCATTTCACTTGCAAAGACTCAGCCAGACTTTTTATAGTCTGAGAAAATATGAAAGATTCCAATGGGAAATATAGAATAAACAAGGTTAGATGATAGTTATATCATGTTGATATTTTTTTGTAAAAAATATTTATATTGTTTCTCAGGACTTTAAAAATGTTTTCCCTCTCTATTTGTATAATGGTTCTTTGCCTTCTTATACCAAAAGGAATAAAAATAATTAGATGTTTTCCTCTTTCCCAGGAGATTTTTTTATTTTCCCTTAATGGTTTCTACACACTTTTATAAAGTTGTTTTTGCTTATCTCTGTAGTTTCTTATACATTCAACCTTGAAAATTTTAAAGCAGTAATGTTTACCATCATGTCTTTCCAATTGTCTCCATAAATTTGGAAATTCTGAAATTATCTTAAATCAAGACTCAAAAAAATAATAAGAGTATTGTGCAGCACATTCTACATACGTTGATGTTTTTTTAAATTAAGCCATTTTACTATTTTTAGAGATATTAGCGAATTCCAAGAAAGAAGAATTATTTGTAGTTCAGAGTTGAAATGAAGGGTCCTTGGTGCTCTCTGAACTTGACATCTGTAAGAAAACAACCAAACTCAAGGAGCACCAAAGACCTCTCATTAGCGAATTCATAAAAAAAGTTGAAAAGAAAAAATATTGTTGACAACATTAGATACTAAACAATTCTCTTTCATAAAACCAGCTGCTGGAGATATCTGCAAGGGTTAGACATAGATTGTTAAGTACAGCAAAGGAACCGGGGAACAGAGAAGAAGAAAAGCATATCTTGCATCTGCAGGAGTAAGCTTCATAATGTCCAGTCTAATTTATAAAGGATCATAGTGCAGTGAGAAAGACAAGAACAGAGAAAACCAAGTGAGATTGAATAGAGTCATTATTTTATACAATCTTTTCATTAAGTATATGAAACTAAATTTAGTTTACCCATGTGCACCAAAAATAAACAACATGTATTTCAATTTTTAACTTTCTAGACTAGAAAACCTCTAGTAAAAGTAGAATAATATTACAATACAGATAAGTAAAACAAATGCGTGTATCAAGAATTACATGGTGTTGTATGTAGCCTTTGATATCAAGAACAAGTAATATAATTTATATTTCTAACAGTACAGCCTCAAATAATACAACTTAAAAATGAAACCACCTTTGAAAATGGCCAAGCCACTCTGATATGTGAAGCAGAAGGAGAACCAATTCCTGAAATTACTTGGAAAAGAGCTGTTGATGGAATAACATTTTCTGAAGGTGACAAGGTAAATTAATGTATGCAGCTGCTATAATAATCAGTATAATGTTTATTCAAAGTGTAAATATAATTTCAATTAGATAAAATATTTTATGAGTGAAATATTCATATATGAGTATGAAAATCCTGCCTTCCCAGGCTGCAGAAAACAAAATAATTCAGATTAAGGAGAATATTCTTCCTTTATTTTCTGCGCAGGACTTAATGTTATGCTTGAATTACAGTTTTATTAATGCTTTTTGCCCTGCAAAATGGCTGTTTTCTATCTTACCCTCAGGATATTTGAGAATTTTGTTCACATTTCTTTGTTGGCATTTTGATTTTTATTATTGGAATTGACATGACAAATTATTGTTGATGTTATTGCTTTTCTATTTACATCTCTCATCACTCTGAAACCACTCTGCACATTGGCATGTATTTCTTCTTCATTTCTTTGTCACTTTAACATAATCTGTTTTTTTTTAAATTTGGATTTTATATTATATTTTTCTCCTTGACTTTATCTTAAAGGATTTCCTTATTTTATAATATATTAGAAAAATGGGGGAGCCATAAGAGAATGCAGATTAATTAAGAAATAATGGTATGATGAGATACAAAGCATTCATACTAAAATCTAGCAGCTAGATAGGTAAATATAAAAACCATATTTTGTCCATAATTATTTCATCAACATTTTTTTATCATTAGAAATAAATTTCTAAAGCATATTAGCTAATGAAAACCTGACTGACAAAAATAACGAAGGTTTGGAATTTTGTGGATGGTACTGACACAAACCAATGAAACCTAAACAAGGCAACATTTATTTAATCATATAAATTTGTTGTTAATTGCGAAGTCGTGTCCTACCCATTGCGACCCCATGGACAATGTTCCTCCAGGCCTTCCTGTCCTCTACCATCTTCTGGAGTCCATTTAAGCTCATAGCTTATTGCTTCAGTGACTCCATCCAGCCACCTCATTCTCTGCCCTCCCCTTCTTCTGTTGCCTCAATCTTTCCCAGCATTAGGCCCTTTTCCAGTGAGTCCTTCCTTCTCATTAGGTGGCCAAAGTATTTGAGTTTCAACTTCAGAATCTGGCCTTCTAAAGAGCAGTCTGGGTTGATCTCTTCTAGGACTGACCGGTTTGAACGCCTTGCAGTCCAAGGGACTTGCAGGAGTCTTCTCCAGCACTATAGTTCAAAGGCCTCAATTCTTTGTCGCTCAGCCTTTCTTATGGTCCAATAATTATATAAATACTTCTATACAAATTTCCAGTCAGAATCTTTGTCACAAATGTTCAGGTGTTTCAGCTGAACAGGTAATACCAGCACATTTCCAGGTCACATCAAAATCTTTTACACAAACTTTATGCTGCTAAGTGTGGTCAATATGCAATAAATTGAAGTCTTGCTTTAGTGGAGTTTGCACTGAAACTGTTAATTTATTTTGTGAAACTTCTTCACCTGCTTGCCTTTATTCCTTCCAAGCATCAACAAAACTCTTTTAAAAAATGGAATAATATTTTATTATTATTGCAACCCACTGAATGAAATAATCTTATAGGACTTTGACAAATAGTTTTTTTTTAACTAAAGGACTATAACTGGCAGGTCAAAATTCAGCAGAGTCTTGTTAAAAAAAATTTCCAAATTAATTTTACAATAAGCTTTCATGATAAGATCTCCTGTACCTAAAGCAGAAATTAAAGATCACATTTACAAAATGAGATCTGGAAAAGCATTATGTGAAGATTTTATTTATCATGAACTTTAAAAGGAAAACATGCACAGGGAGCTGCCGTTTTGCCCAGCCCTTTTAAATAAAAACAATTCGGCCTATCTCTCTACATTCAGTGGTCAACATGCAATCATTGTTTTCACAATAATATTATTGAACAACTAGACATTTTCAACTATTTGCTAAGTTATGCATTAATATGTAATGCAAAATTATTTGTGTTAATAAAACTTTGGGAAGAATGCAAAGGTAATAGTGTATTATGTGTGTGTACATGGAAAGGTGGATCATTCAACATTTGATCAATATTTCATTGCTAGCCATTCAATTGTGTCTGGCCCTTGGCCATTCTATCAATCAGCACTTTCCATGCCCTCTATCTCATATGGCCTCCTTCAGATCTTCCATGGTCATCCCTGTGTCATTTTTTATAGTGTCAAGCCAACAGGTACTAGGGTGCCCCTTTCTCCTTTTTCTGCTGATCACTCCCAACATGACTGACTTTTTGAGTGGCTTGGCTCACATGACATGGCCAAAGCATGACAGACTTTGCTTGACAATATTGGCTTTGAGTGATATTTTGGGTGAGGCTTAGTCTAGGACTTCTTTGTTTGTGACTTTTGCAGTCCATGAGATTCATAATAGTTGTCTTCAGCACCTTCTCTTGTCTGCCTTTTCAAGCCTCTAAGTTTCACAGCCATAAGTAGCAATTGGATTATTGTTGACTAATCTGCATTTGGTTGGGAGGCTGATATCTTTACTCTTCAGGTGTTATTCATGCCAGACATTACAGTTCTTCCAAGTGTTATGTGCCTTCTGATCTCAGTGTTAATCAATTTTAGAACCAAGGAAGTTGAATTCCTTTAATGTTTCAATGGTTTCATTGTCAACTGCACCCTGACCTGTGTTTTCTCTGCAATTGTTATTATCTTTGTTTTCTTGAAGGTACAATCCATTTTTTTTCACTTTCGTTTTTTACTCAATGATCAGTGTTGAGGTTTTTTTTTAATAATCTGGGGATGTACTTGATATACCCTGGAAGAATTGTTTGTATAGCTATTGTAGATTTGAATTCATCTTTGACTTAGATGCTAAATTGGTAGTGGAGTTGTTATAAATGTTAATGTTTTATGAAAAGGCTTCATATGAGCAGCTATTTTAGATTTAGATGCTTTCCTCAGGGTATTTGTTATATCACACTCCAGTTCCCTCAAAACAGTTTTATTTCAACTTCATTTTAAAAAAAAAACCTCTATTCATTTAGATGGGCATTCAATGTTGTCTGAAATCTTCATCTTTCAATTTCCGAAGACAGAGCAATTTCAATTTTACTATAAGGTGATTTTGCGGTTGTTTTGTTTGTTTCACAGGTAATTCATAACATATATAAAATTTCCTTTTTACAATCCTGTAATGCCTTAATTCAGGGTAGAGTCAGAGCAATTGGATGGAGCTGAGTATTTACTGGCCAGATGTCCTTCCTGACGCCACATGGAGTTCGCAGCAGATATTTCTTTCTTTGCGCCCTAGGAGAGAAACATCTGCCACTATCTAGGATTGAACTCTTAACCTTCTGAGTGGGAGGCAAGCGTTTTCACCACTAGGCCACCACTTTGTTCATTCATAACATACATATTTACCATATAAACAATTAGAGTATAATCTGACTAGACAGATGGTGGCTAGAGGAAAAAGACTGTGATGATGTTATATTTAGTATAACTTTTTATTAATTTACTTTTATTGTTTTCATTACTTTTGCTTTTTGCTTGGCATTGCATTAAAATTAATTCACTAAGAAATCCCAATTACGCTTATTTTTTACTTAATTAATAATTTGTAAATTACATTCAGAATGATAATCTTTTAATGCGGGTTAGGTGTAGTGTAGCTGTTTACTTTTTCTGGTATGATTTTGTTTGGCAAAGACTGTAGTTATAAACATGACTTGTTTCTTCTTTAAGTTCATTTTCAAGCCTGAAAACTTGTCATTGTCATTTTTCTATATCCTTGAAGATTATTCATCTTTGAAAGTTTCCAAATTGTTGGAGTAAAGAAAAATATTGTCGGACAAACATAATTGGTTATTTATTACTGCTTTGGACCAGTTCAGCTCTTAGAATATCTCTGCAAACTAGCTGATAATATTTTTGATAAATTTAATGATCATGTTTAATTTATTTATTAATGGTGGCAATCTTTTCATTTATGTGTGTAGTAGCTGTAGCATTTCTGTATGTTGATTCCAGGAGACTGATCTAGGATTCTTTCACACTTAAACTTTAGAACTTCAGTTATAATGTTCAATTTAGCAGAGTCAAAGCTTTTTGAAAGTCAATGAAGGTCAGGCAAAGTGACAATTGGTATTCAGTGCAATGTTCAATAATATGTTGAATCCTTTGTATATGATCTATAATGATAAATCCATTCCAGAAATGAGCTCATTGTCTTAGTTGGACAAAGTCCAATGTTTTCACTTAGTTTTGACAAGTTTGTGCAGAATTAAAATCATTAATTCTGTAGTTTTTAATACCTTCTTCATCACCTTTTTCTGTTCGTTGGGATATTTCAATGGTGATATAATGGTGGAAATATGTTATTGTTTTAAACAGTAAATAATTTTGCCAATGTTCTATAAAGTTATCAACATAATATCTCTAAGCACTGTCTCTGGGAAGAGAGCTATTACTTCTTCATCTCTATCCAAGATTTCAGTAATGTGTCTAAGCTTCAGTAGTATGTAACCTTATTCTATTTTTCTCCCTCACCAGCTGGAGAGTAGCTGCTGGCTTGAAATGACTGAGAAGGAGTTATCTTCTTCATTTTATGAGGCATACCATTAACATAATGTTACATCCAAGCCATTAAACTAAATTGAGAGAGTTTGGGTTTAAATCACTCACCCATTCAGCATTTTACATGAGCAATTATGGCCTGGATGGGACAGAGTAAAATATAGAAAAGTAATTGTCTAAGCAGCCTTGAAAATACTAAGTCCTAAAATATCAAATATTAAGCAATTATGCAATATGTTGGGTGAACTGACACATTTAGAATATATAGAGTTATACAGGAATATGTAGATAACCTTGAAGAAGAAATGCCAAGACTGTTACACTGTTACAGATAGACTCTGATAAATAGGAGGGTATGGAAAAATACAAGATTGCCCTGCCTGATTCTCTTTCAGAGAATAGAAAGAGAAATTTTGTCTTATTTTCAAGATTTTCAGTCTTTGCCAACTGAGTATAGTGCTGACCCCTTGGTCAATATAAAATGTATC